ACTTGCATATGGGAGTGGATTCAACATGGACTGGAAAAAAAGGACAATGATCAGATCTTCACTCTGGGGGCAGGAAACTGCCAACTCCCCTTTGTCCTCTGGAAATGACTCATGGGGAGGGGGAAAGGAGGAACCAGCCAGGTGACAAGATACTCAGGTTACTTCCACAACTCCTCCCTCAACCCCTCCTTTTTGTGATGTGTCAATGATGTAGTCATGATGTAGTTCTAGGGGTGTAGCTTGGGGGATTAGTAGCTAATAAAAGTTGGGGTCTTCTTTTGTTCGGGACTTCCATCTTGCTTCATCTTGTTGTGGGTGGGAGTCCTGTCGCGACAGTTTTCAATAAAGGCCAAGCCTACAGGCTGCTGTTTTGCTCCAAATTGTCCTGGTTGGTGTCTTTGTCTTTTTGTCCAAGGGAGCCCTCGGATTCCTCTGTTAACAAATTCAATCCCTGACATCTCTAGGCAGGGCAGAGAGAGAATTTTGCCTGACACCTTGGATAGCCACTGCCAGTTGGCATTGATCAAGGAGAAGTAACCTGTGGTCCTTCGGTTGTTATGACATTTGACCTCTCAGCAGCCCCAACAAGCATGGACAAGAGTTAGGGCTGATGGGGGTTGTAGTTCCACAACGTCTGGGAAGCCAGAGCTTCTCCATCACTGGTGTAGGCCATACTGGCTGGACTAGAGGGCCTTTGACTATAAGGCTGCTTTCTATGTTTTGTCCAGCAATCTTTACAGCAGTTGCCTAATTTTGTGAACCCAACTAGTGATAACAGTCTGTAGTTTTGTGAAAATAGACTCTGTGTGTTAACATTTATGCCGTATCTTAAAAACAAAAAAATTATTGTTTTTGTACAGCCTACTTCATCAGATCATCTGACCAACTGCACTGCCCTCCACAGAAGCTAGTTCTTGTTCTAGTTTTTAATGTGCCACAAGACTTTTACTTTTTCTGCAGACTCTGGAAGCTGCATACACAGAGCTGCTGCACGCACTAAGCTAGCTGCAACTTTATTGGCTTGACATGTTGCTCCATGCATCATAGCGACTCTTATCTGTGGACTAATATGCAAACTATGCAAGAAAGATATTGGTGGTTGTGACAGACTCCAGTTGGTGGGCCTCATACAACTATGTCTCAGTTGGGGTTTTAAAGATAGGGAGTCTGAAACAGTGTGATTTCAAGTCTTGAAGCACCATGTGTCACCCAAAAAGATTACCACCACTCAGGCCCAGTTCCCGGCTGGGAACAGAAAGCTAGATTATTAGGGACACAACTAAGCTGGAAACCTTCTGACTTTCCACTTTGTATGCACAGTACAAGCAGCCTTCACTCATGTGACTGCAATCTGAAGTAGAATTGTCCATGCTCATGTTTTCCACCCTAACTGCTCTTTGTGCAAATAAAGCCTCAGTTAGGTTAGATGTGAGACAAAATGAGGCTGTTCTCTCACCGTTAGAAATGTTTCTAACCCAATTTATACTTCTAATTCATAATTTTATCAAATTTATTTTTATAGTCTGGATATACAGTGGTACCTCAGGTTACATACGCTTCAGATTACATATGCTTCAGGTTACAGACTCTGCTAACCCACAAATAGTACAAATATTGTACTATAAAAATAGTGGTTAAGAACTTTGCTTCAGGATGAGAACAGAAATCGCGCAGCAGCAGCAGCACGGCGGCAGCGGGAGGCCCCATTAGCTAAAGTGGTGCTTCAGGTTAAGAACAGTTTCAGGTTAAGAATGGACCTCCGGAATGAATTAAGTACTTAACCCGAGGTACCACTGTATAGACACTGACTTCTTGTATCACTGTGTATTTGCATAATCAAATAAAAGTGTTTTTTCCTAGGAGTTCACATATTTTGACTGAGTGACAAGTCATCAGATGCAAACAGTGAGTGGTGTATGAGAATTCCAGTACATTTTTTTAAAAAATCCTCTGTGTTAAATCATACTCTAATGCTGCAACCCTATGCAAGTTTACCAAGAAGGCCTCATTGTAGTCAATGGCACTTACTCCCAAGTATAGAATCATAGAATTATAGAGTCAGAAGGGACCCCAACGGTCATCTGGTCCACCATCCTTCAAATGCAGGAATCTCAACTAAAGCTTCCATGACAAATGGCCATCCAGTCTCTGGATCCTTTTCACATGTACATGTCTCTCACAATTGCACACACATGTAGGACGCGGGTGTTGCTGTGGGTTAAACCACAGGGCCTAGGACTTGCCGATCAGAAGGTCGGCGGTTCGAATCCCCACAACGGGGTGAGCTCCTGTTGCTCAGTCCCTGCTCCTGACAACCTTGCAGTTCGAAACCACAAAGTGCAAGTAGATAAATAGGTACCACTCCGGCGGGAAGGTAAACGGCGTTTCCGTGCGCTGCTCTGGTTCACCAGAAGTGGCTTAGTCATGCTGGCCACATGACCAAGCTGTACGCCAGCTCCCTCGGCCAGTAAAGTGAGATGAGCACCGCAACCCCAGAGTCGCTCATGACTGGACCTAATGGTCAGGGGTCCCTTTACCTTTATTGGACAAGCATGAAATGATTGTTGCCTGTACAATAAAACATAATGTGTTTGCTGCTTTTAATCCTCTTCACAACCCTTTCAAATTGTTTCCAGCCCGTCCCGGAGAAGCCCCAGATTCAGTTGTTCACAGGCACACCCAGGGACCACCTGAATTGAACTCAGTGGTTGTGGACCAGTTTGGGAAGCCCTGACTTAAAGGGTTAAGTAGCCTTGGCTCCCTGTGAGTTTTAAGAGCCTCCAGCCGTTTCCTCATGACTCACCTCTCTCAAATGTGGGTGGCCTAATCAGTGGGTGGCTGCCCTTCCCCCCAGGCTATAAACATCTCCAGGACATAAACTGTATCCAACAGGCAGACCCATCTCCCAGTGCTTTGGGGTGGTGGTGTTGTTGCATTCTCTTGCCATGGGCAGAAGGGGGGTGGGGGGCAGGAAGAGATGCTAAATCAGGTTTTCTAAGCAAGATGTTGGCAAGTCTACAAGCTCACACACTGCCTAAACTGTGGTTACAAAAATGGTAGGGTTGCAAATTTCAAGATATTGATCAGCACAATAATCAGTTAAAGATTTAATAAGGAGAACACACCAACTAAGTGGCCATATCAGTTGATTTCTGGGACCTGTATCTCAGGTTGTTTTTCACAAACAGCATTAAAAGTCACACACAGAGTGAAGGTAGCTGTGTTGACCCATAAGCAAGATGCTAAAGACCATAATAGGGCAATACCTTTGTATGATATTTTGGTTGGCATAATAAAGGTATTTCCCCAGTAATATAGAATATGGAACATTAAATGCACCTTTCAGACTTTTTTGTCATTTGTGCTTGCATGGAAATTACTGGGGCACAGTTCTGAATGTGAAAAATACAGTTTAAATCAATTGAAGGCTGTATAAAAGGTACCGTATTTTTCGCACGATTGGACGCACCGGACCATAGGACGCACCTAGTTTTTTGGGGGGGAAATAAAGGAAAAAAATTTCCCCTTTATTTCCCCCCCAAAAGCAGGTCAGGGAAACCGAACCAGGTCGAGGAACAGCGGGATAGTGGCGCTGCGCCTCCCTGCTGTCCCCCGAGCTTGTGGGGCTGGCTGATGTCTGCCTGGCGCGCGGGGCGCTCTGCTTCAGGGCGCCCCACCCGCTGGGCGGCAGGCTACTATCCGCAGCGTGGGGAGCCCTGCGGGGAACTCCTGCAAGGCTCCCCACTCTGCGGATGTCTGCCTGGCGCGAGGGGCGCTCTGCTTCAGGGCGCCCCACCCGCCAGGCAGCAGGCTTATCCGCAGCGTGGGGAGCCCTGTGGGGAACTGCTGCAGGGCTCCCCACGCTGCAGATGTATGCCTGGCACGAGGGGCGCTCTGCTTCAGGGCGCCCCACCCGCCAGGCAGCAGGCTGCTATCCGCAGCGTGGGGAGCCCTGTGGGGAATTCCTGCAAGGCTCCCCACGCTGCGGATGTGTTCCCGAAGCGCCTGGAGCTCTGCTTTCAGAGCGCCCGACGCTCCGGGAAGCAGGCTGCTATCCGCAGCCTAGACACGGCTAGCGGAGCGCTAATCCCGAAGCTTGGGGCGTGCGGAGCTCAGCGCGCCCCAAGCTTCTGGGCGCCGGCAAGGTCTCCGCTAGCCCTTGCTGGCGCCCAGAAGCTTGGGGCGCGCTGAGCTCCGCACGCCCCAAGCTTCGGGATTAGCGCGGCGCTTCGCTAGCCCTGGGAGAGCCCCGCGACGTCGCGGGGCTCTCCCAGGGCTAGCGAGACCTTGCCGGCACCCAGAAGCTTGGGGCGCGCTGAGCTCCGCACGCCCCAAGCTTCGGGATTAATGCAGCGCTCCGCTAGCCGTGGGAGAGCTGTGTCTCCCACGGCTAGCGGATAGCTTCCTGAAGCCTGGAGAGCGAGAGGGGTCGGTGCGCACCGACCCCTCTCACTCTCCAGGCTTCAGCGAAAGCCTGCATTCGCTCCATAGGACGCACACACATTTTCCCTTGCTTTTTAGGAGGGAAAAAGTGTGTCCTATGGTGCGAAAAATACGGTAGGTTTCTACTGACAAGAAGAGACAAGGGCTGTGTTATCAACTAATTTGTCGAAAGACACCTTATTCTTGATTAGATAATCTGCCATGTATTCAAGATAAAGGTATTAGCTACAACACATTATGGAATTTTTGTGCTGGACAGGACTAGAATACTAGAATCTCATGCCTTTCCTACCCCAGCACCCCACACATCAATCCAATAATCCACAATACTGCCTGTGACAAACACAGAAGAGATCATAAACCTTCAGCTTAATGCCTACAGATGGTAAGGTCAATGTTGCACATAATTCTACAAAGCACCCTGTGATTTTAAAAAACAACAACCCATAGTCCTCAGAGACCAAGCCATTCAATCAATGCAACAGATGCTCTACTTCATCATCAATTTGGCCCAAACTAATTGTGAAGGAAAAGTTCAAAAACTCAAACCTTCAGGACAACATAGAGAAATATGTTTTATAAGGAACAGTTAAAATGTCAGTCTTCAGAACTTCAGGTTGGATGTCAAAAAACAAGACAAAACATGGATGGCATGATATTGGAGCCCAAAACAGCAGTTTGTTACAGACTTGACATGAAGTATATAGGAGGTAATAAGTATACTCAGGCTACAATCCCATACACACCTGGAAGTAAGTCCCATTGAACTCAGTGTGACTTACTGTTGAGTAAAGTTGGGTAGGTTAGTGCTGTGAGTTATTGTCACTTCTAACATACCTCAGGGGGTAGCTAGACTTCAGCCTTACAGGAGCAACATTGGCTTTTACTAGAACCCTGAGTTCTACCAACCAGATCCAGGTGCAAAATATTTAGAATTAAAGAATTCTGAGGCTAGAAACTGGTTCTGAGTACCAGAACTAAACTGAATAGCAAGTTTCCAATTCTTCCACACAAAAATCCACTCTTTGTTACATCATTCATTTCCCCCATGCCTGGTCTTCAAATCACCAATGTAACTTGAGATAAGGGTTTGTTTTGTTGTTGCCTTTGTTAAACAGGGTGAAAAATCCTTGCCTGTCTACTTCAAATCACCCAGAGATCTACCAGTAGATCACCAGTAGGTCTACTCACCAGTAGATCTACTCACCCCTGCCATTGATAGTTACTATAGACAACTATGACTTACATGGAACCCAAAACCTTTTGTCTATCAATAGCTTTCACATATATTTGGTAAGAGGAAACAGCTTGTTTCACTTGTCTCAGTAAACTACTACTAACACAGAGGATTTTGGGGGAGTGGGAATCAGGGATTGAAACTGCATCGTTTAAGGAAATTTCTGACGGAATTGTTAACATTTTAAAATGCTTCTAGGTCCCAGTCGGTGTGGAATACAAAATCATATTTGATCCAAGTAAATCCAGAAGTTTTGTGACTAGTATTTCATTTCGTCACAGCATCCCTGCGAGGTAGGTTAGGCGGAGAGCAGCAACTGACCCAGGGGCGCCAAGCGAGTGGGAATTTGAAACCTGGTCCTCCTAAGTCGTGCTCCCAAACGCTAACTGATAACCCAAAACTCACATTGCCTTCTAGAGTTCTGGAGGTCCTCTGTTTTAGCTATGAAGCAACCGATGAGCATACCAAAGTCAAGTCCCGAGTCTAAATATTTGCAGCAGAAATAACCTGAAGGCGCTAAGCTCTTTGCCCGACTGTAAACAACTGTCATACTGGTGCTTCGGCGCGGAGACAAAGGACAGAAGTTCCTGTGCAACCCTCGAGGGTCTCTTTGCAGGAGCTCTCCCGAAAGTTGCCCTGCCCGGATTGCAGCCTCCCCGACCCTCCCTCTAGCGCCTGCGTAGTGGAGCCTCCCTCTCTCTAGGGCAAGCGGAGATTCCTTTCTCCCAGTGTCAGATTTGCATCCCGGCTGGAAGGAAGGAGCAGAAAAGGGTAAGGAGATAAAACTGCATGCCTTGCTGCCTTTGCTGTGGGAGATAAAAACCCTGCAACTTACTCTTTTTCCTCTCCCTTTTGCAGAAAGAAAGGTGAAATCCGGGTGGCTGTTTTGTTCTCCTCTTTTCTTTCCTGGCAGAAGATGGGGCTTCTCCAGGTGCATCTTTGCTGTTTCCTAGGTAATTAAACATTGTTGTTTAATGTTGTTACAAACTGCCTTCTTGTTTTAAGCGGTCGGTGTGTGTTCCCTGTTCCCCAAGCTGAGAAGAACTTTGTTAGTCCCGGAGCAGAACTTTTGTTTTTCATTCAAACCATCCCGTTTTAACAAATTTCAGATGTGCGGCAGCAACAAAAGGGGCTGCAGCACGAACTTTTGCAAGCGATGGCATTTGCCCAAGTAACTTAGAAAACTCCCTTTTTGCAATTTAACCATCACCCCCCTCCTCTCGCTTCTCGCTAGCCTTATCTCTTCCCCTTCCTCTCCCTAGAGATTGCAAGCTCATTGCGGGCATAGACCGGTTTTCTAGCTACATCCGCCTTTACGTTACTCATGTCTTATGAACGATCAAGCGGGCTGTTTCCTCCGAAAGTTCCTTGCAGCTGTAAGGATGCGCTGGAAGTTGGGGCATTTGCATGGCTAAGGCTGCAATCCTGCGCCCACTTTACAGGGGAGCAAGCCAGACTTGCTTTCGAGGAAGTGCGCGTGGGATCGGCTGGCAATCAAAGAGTTGGAGAGTTGGAAGGGACCCTAAGGGTCATGTAATCCAACCCCCCTGCAATGCAGGAATGCACGTTGATGTGAGAGTACTTTTTACGGAACTTCGTGGGTTTACTTCCGCGTAAACCTGCATAGGATGAGGCTGCAAATAGGCTCAGGATGTAAGGCTGAAGTTCCAACTCCCACCTGGGAGTTTGTCCCATTGAATCCACTAAGGGCAGGCACCCCCAAACTCGGCCCTCCAGATGTTTTGGGACTACAGTTCCCATCATCCCTGACCACTGGTCCTGTTAGGGATGATGGGAGTTGTAGTCCCAAAACATCTGGAGGGCCGAGTTTGGGGTGTGTGCCTGCGCTGGGGCTTACTTCCCATAGGATAGCACTGTATAAGGCTTCGATCCTGTGCGCATTCTTCATGGTGCAAGTCCCATCAAACACAGTGGCATTTACTTCCGAGTAAACGGGCATCGGACTGCGCTTTACGTAAGTCAATACTATGTTACGATTTTTTCTGCCTGCATTTTCGCAGTGACTCATAGCCCACTCCGTCCTGAAAGATGCTAAGAACCGATTTTTAAAGTAGCCTGTGATCAATTCAGGCAAACTCAGACCTTTAAAAGAATCCCCACAACCCCAACGGACACGCTGATAGAGACAGATCCACACGTCTGGGGTTGTGCAGAAAAGTCCCCAGTTGTTTTTATTTTGATTATACATTTTGTGGTTTTATATTTTGATTTTGTTCTGTGAACCGGGAGAGAGTAACCCAACCCGCTTTATGCCGCGATTCCTATACATCCCAGGCTGTAAACCCCATTGAAAGCAAATTGGGTCGCGTTCCTTGAGCATCAGCTTGCTTGGCTAGCTTGCAGCCGTGTAGACAAGCGCGAAGCCTGGGAATCCAAAACCCCGCGAAACTCAGTAAGGAGGACGACGCCCGTGGGCGCGTTCGTGAGAATGGCGTGACACCCGAGTCGCGGGGAAACGCAAGCTCCTCGCCTGCTGCTCAAGCCCCCCTGTTAGCAAAGTGAAATGATGCCCTGGAACCGCTTCAGCCTCCAGAAACCTTGCGCACGCACACACACACCCTACCATAGCGCATTCCTAGGTTGGTCTACTCGGAAGCAAGGCCCGCCGCGGCGTGCTTGCTCCCAGGTAAGCGCCAAGAGGCCTTGGCTCTCCGCTCCGCCTTCTTCGCGCTCAGCTCCCCAGAGGGAGAAGCGGCCCGGCGTGGATTTGGGAAGAGTCGTCGCCTGGCGCCATATGGCTTTCCTTGCCCGCTTGTTCTCCGCCGCTGGAGAGTCTCCGTCGCGGCCGCGTCGCTGGGCGAGGAGGGGAGGGAATGGCGCCGGCTCCGTGAGGGGGAAATTGGCGGGAACTTCTTCCCCCTCCGCCAGCCGCGCTTTCCCCTCAGCCTCGTGGCTCCCTCCGAAGCCTTCAGACTTGGCCTTCTCCTCTTTGGGGCAGGCTTCGCCTCACGACCCTCCAGTTAACATATTTATATGCCTATCCCACTCCAAGGTGGCCTTCCCTGCTCTCCATATCGTCCTCATGACAACCCTTGTGACTTTGGTCATGGTGTGTCCAGAGCGAGGACAAAAATGTGGCCGCCTCCAAATATTTCTGATTTCTTATTCAGGATGGTGCAGGCGGTTTTACACACACACACACTGCATTGAGCAGAGAGGGCACAATATGGAGACGATCCCGTTTGGGGGGCGCCAAGTTTTGGCCTCGCACAGCGTTGCAAAAGATGGCCAAACTTCTTTTCGCAAAAGTTCCTTTGGGAATGGAGTTTGTTGAAGCACCTTGCCTCCTGCGCATGCTCTCAAGGGCGCTGTTTATGCGCCCCTTTGGCTCACACCCAGTGCTGGCGAAGTGTTGCCTGTGGGGCAGGTTAGGAAGAGAGATGGCGGCTGCGCCAAGGCCACCCAGTGAGCTTCGTGACTGAAAGGGGATTTGAACCCTGCTCCCCCAGGTCCTGGTTCGGGTTTTTTTTAACAACCACACAGACTCTCAAAAGTTTGTCACATTGGGGCTTTGGCTTTTATGGGTTGCGCATGTGCAAGCTTGGTACAACTGGCCTAGCGGCTAGGATTCAGTCTGAACACAGAACCCTATGTATGTTTACACAGAAGTATATTCATTTCACGTGCATCTCATTGTTCATCCAAGGCTCAAGGCAGCATACAAGCTCCTTTCTAATTTTCAAATGAGATTGAAGAAAGAATCCCTGGCCTAAGGCCCCTTGGTCACATCCACACCAGCCATATTACTTTAACAGTAATGGTTTCCCCCAAAGAATCCTGGGAATTTTGTATTTAACTTCTCACAGAACTGCCATTTTTAGCGCCCTTAACAAACAGCAGTTCTCGGGATTCTTTTTTTTTTTTTTTGAGGGGGGAGGGTTATTGGGTTGTTGTTTTTATTTTGATTATATATTTTGTGGTTTTATATTTTGAGTTTGTTCTGTCAACCGCCCTGAGACCGTCAGGTATAGGGCGGTATATAAATTCAATAATTAATAATAACAATGCTTTGAATGTGGATTTACCCTGGTCAGCTTCATGGCTAGCGTCTCATCAGTCCCATCATGACGCACTAATCCAATGGTAGCTAATGAGGGATCCACTAGATCCCTTGGACCACAACTCTCATCATCCTGGTTGGAACCGTAGTCCACAAATCCAGAGGGCACCTGGTTGGCTGCCCCTTTTGTAACCATTTTTCTACACTGGTATTCTATCACACTGCCTTCCTTGTCCTTATTTCTAGGTAAGAAATGGGAGGCAGTGTAAAATTGTGCCTGCGGTCTTTTCCCCCAGTATCACTGAATGCTTTAAATTGAAGGGGGAAATGGTAGTTAATAACAGATGCTTGTCACCTTTTGCTCGTCCTGTACTAAGTTCAAATAACTCAGTGGGTAGATAACCATTCTCCCCTATAAGTGTTTGGGTTCCTTTTCTATTTAATTTTTATAGTGACATGCATATGTCGTGGATGGAAAATTGAAGGAATTGTGGTCTGGATGCTCCACCACAGATCCATTTCACAAGTTAGTGCATCTTGCTCAAATAACTTTCTGAAGTATTTTCAGTGGTGCACTCAACTGAGGCCTCACTGTGAAGTGAATTACTTTGATTTCTCTTTCATCACCTGGGTGTCCCATTTGTGGCAACCTAAATGAAAAAAATAAACAAACCTAAACCACAGCTCTCCCCAGACAGGAATGAGACAGAGTTGTGTGATTTGTCCTGTGGTGCTGAGGGGCCCCTATATTTTCAATAAATCTGTTTTGTTTTTTTGCTACTTGCCCAGCTTAAATAACCATAGAATCCAGATTCCTTTTATTCTAATCTGGGACAGGAATCGGTGGCTATCGCCTGCTTACTTGCAAGTTCACAAGAGCATTGACAGAGATTGCTTATTCTTCAGCAAGAAAATGATTTGGCACAACTACGTAGGGTTTAGTGTCTATCCCTTATTATTGTTAGCATCAACACATTTATGAAATTGCCATCTGGCAATTACCGTGTGTGTAAGGTGATGCTTACACACGGGGTAATTGCCAGATGGCAATTTTATAAATGTGTTGATTTATGAAATGTGTTGATTTAAGGGATGTGGGTGGTGCCGTGGGTTAAACCACAGAGCCTAGGACTTGCCGATCAGAAGGTCGGCGGTTCGAATCCCCACAACAGGGTGAGCTCCCGTTGCTCGGTCCCTGCTCCTGCCAACCTAGCAGTTCGAAAGCACGTCAAAGTGCAAGTAGATAAATAGGTACCACACCAGCGGGAAGGTAAACAGCATTTCCGTGCGCTGCTCTGGTTCGCCAGAAGCGGCTTAGTCATGCTGGCCACATGACCCGGAAGCTGTATGCCGGCTCCCTCGGCCAATAAAGCGAGATGAGCGCTGCAACCCCAGAGTCGGTCACGACTGGACCTAATGGTCAGGGGTCCCTTTACCTTTAAGGTGATGCTAATCATGGCATCCACCACTGAAACATCTCCTCTTCCAAATGCTGATCTGCTCCTGGCCCTTGCTTCTCCTTCCCATTTTTAGGCCTTTGGACCATTGTAGTAGCTCAGGAACCAGAATTCAGCTACGGATGTGCAGAGGGGAGCTGCTATCCAGCCACAGGAGACTTGCTGATTGGCCGGGCTGACAAGCTAACTGTCACGTCCACATGTGGGCTTCCAAAGCCTGAACCATACTGCATTGTGAGCCACCTCCAGGTAAGTTTTTGCAGAAGAAGACTGTCTCAGAGCAAAGAGGAATTCAGTTGAGTGTAGTTGAAGGGCAATTGATCATAACAGTCCTGGGTCTTCCTCTCTCTCCCCCCTTAGCTGACCAAGCAGCCCCACACCCTCTCTAGATAAGTAGAAACATCTGGTGCTGTCCAGAGCTTTGAGAGGAAGCAGACACCATCCCCCTGGCTCAGATTTGTTTGTAC